TCCGGCAACTTTTTTCATCTTCAGAACAGATTGCTCTTAGGGTGTTGTTTTATATCCATTCTTGCTAAGAAGGAGGTTCAGTTACAAGCACAGTCTAAATCCTAAGCTTCTTAATTAGGACAAGGAACTAAGCTGTTCCCAAAGAACTGTAAATGTACACCTTTTATCAAGACCAACCAGTTTCCAAAACGCAGCGTGCTCATTTCTGAATTATGCAAGTTTTTTTTCTGGATTGTTCTTTCCCTAAATTAATCCAGAGGTGTCGAACTTATGAGGGCCAGATCTGACATAAATGTCACTGTTAGGCTGGGCCATGTGTGCCATAAAATGTAATGCCAGGTAGCGGAGATATAAACTTTATAAACGACACAGGCAAAGCCATTTTGCGCATTGCACAAACCAAAGCGACAAGGGCTAGATCCTTTTCAGTGGTGGCCCCTACCTGGTGGAACGAGCTCCCGGAGGAGATCAGGGCCCTGCGGGATCTTATGCAGTTCCGCAGGGCCTGCAAGACGGAGGTCTTCCGCCAGGCTTTCACATAGGGGCCGCCGCTGCCACCACCACCAACGGTGGGAATACCATCGGGTCGCGGGATCGCCCTGGGAAGCCCAGCCACATGTGACATTAACAACGTGGATTGGTATGAATGATCAACTAGACAGTGAGACCCCAATGGGGCTGGTTTGAAGATAACCACTCAAGACCATCTTGATTGAAAGTACTTTATTATTGTTATTAGTGTTATTATTGATATAATTGTGATTTTATTGTTTTATTGGGTTTTATATATGGGCTTGCGCCCCTTGTAAGCCGCCCTGAGCCCGCTCGCGGGGAGGGCGGGGTAAAAAATGCTTAAAATAAAATAAATAAATAAAACATTTTACTCAAACCACAAACATGCTTAAAACATTAACATTTTTACAGTATTTCCTTACAGTATCTCCCTGATGCCTGCCCAGCCATTTTCACCACCCGTTACACATTAGCACTGAGACAGTATACATAGGGACATAATGCACAGCCTCTGTCATAATAAAGGTAATAAATAAAAGGTTCCCTTGCTCGAAAGCCAGTCGAATCTGACTCTCGGGTTGCGGTGCTCATCTCCATTTCAAAGCCGAAGAGCCAGCGCTGTCCGAAGACGTTTCCGTGGTCCTGTGGCCGGCATGACTAAACACCGAGGCGCACGGAACGCTGTTACCTTCCCACCGAAGTGGTCCCTATTTACCTACTTGCAATGTCTTGCTTTCGAACTGCTAGGTTGGCAGGAGCTGGAACTAGAGACGGGAGCTCACTCCGTCATGCGGCACACTCGGGTCTCGAACTGCTGAACTACTGACCTTCCACAGCCTGCAGTTCAGCGTCTTAACCACTTGAGCCACCGCAGCTCCTTTTATTATTTGTCGGTGTATAAGCTTCAGCACCGTGATCAGAAGCATCTATCTGACAGCTGACCTGAACCGGATTCAGCCAGTTTGGACTTGGCAGAGGCAAGCCAAGTCACCATGAGTCAGCACTGATCTGATTGGCTGACCAATGTATATATGTGGATGTGTATCACTGTATATTCTCTCTCGGATGGTGGATGGTGTCTGGCGGAGCAGTTTGCTGGAGAGCTGTATATATTGTAAATAAATGTCCTGTATATGGTAACCATTGGACTGTCTCAGTGTGGTTGACTACTGGAAAGCCTCTGGTGAGTGGAACGAGGGCAAGTGTGACTGAGGTGCTGGTTCAACTTCTCCAAACGTGCTGCGCGACATTATTATCCCCAAGGGAGAAAGGTGCCTAATAAACGTTTTAAATAGATAAATTATCCCATGTAGCTACAAGGCCTTCCACTGAGTCACCAGGAAGGCTCTCAAAATCCTCCGGGGCTCCCTGGAAACCAACGGGACCCATTTGTCTCTGGGGGGGAGCGTCCAAATTTACCACAAGACAGACCTTCCCTCATGCTGGATTCCATTTCAATATGCTACAGGGAATAAGCTCCCACATCCAGTCCATCCTGTTGTTAAAGCATGGACAGTGGTACAGCATGAGGCCCATACCGATTTCTCTCCCTCCCTGCCCACTTTACATCTATAATTGGTACTGGTGGTGCTGAGGGACAATGAAGCACTCAGGAACAAAACGGCTGCCACAAAAGGTGGAGAAAGCCACACAGAGGAAGCCCAAGTGCAAGGCAGAAGAGGGGTACTTTAAAAATACACTGGCGAGGAGGAGACTGGATTTATACCCTGCCCTTCACTCGGAGTCTCAGAGCGGCTTACAAACTCCTTTCCCTTCCCCTCCCCACAACAGACACCCTGTGAGGTAGGTGGGGCTGAGAGAGCTCTGACTGAGAACTTCCCTTGAGGGAATAGGTCTGACAGAACTATGGCTTGCCCATGGTCATCCAGCAGCTGCAAGTGGAGGAGTGGGGAACCAAACCCGGTTCTCCCAGATTAGAGTCGGCGCACTTAACAACTACACCAAACTGGGGTAAGAAAGAATAAAACAAACACTCTGGTGGGAGCTGCCAGTGAAACAATGTTATTTTAATCTGCCCAGCCAAGCAGATCTTCCACAACAAGAGCCCCCGTTTCTGAAAACCACTTGGTGGGTGCCAAGGAAGGTGTTGGCGGGTGTCATCATGGCAACCTGTTGGGGACCACGGCTTTACAAAACCCACACAACATACAGCCACTGTCCTACAGAAAAGAGCCAATCACTGAGGTGGATCTTCAGTGGCTCACTCCACGGACAGATATCGGATATCTGAGCTGGCAGACATTGCTGTAATGAGTGTCAAGATAGCTTTCGCTGGGAACCCCGAAGGCAAATCCAAACTTAAGTTCTACAACAACACGTGAGGGACTTGCCCTCAGGAACACGCTGGACTCGGCAGCTCCCTCACGAACATGACATCGTCATAGCCACGAATCCCATGACTGTGCCCTGCTTTGCCAAATTCTCTTCCACTGTTGTCAAGGCAATGGGCGGATCAACTGTTTCTGCCACAAACTTGGTAGGAAGCACACAGCTGGCTCTGCAGCCAAGCCACCCAAGTGACTGCTTAGGGTGGTTCAGTGACGAGGACACCAGGCACTGCAGGGGTTCAGACGGCTGCCGGCCGCGCGTGGCTTGGGAGAAGACTAGCATCCCCTCCTGGGACCACACCACTGCCAGGCAGCAGGCCTAGCACGGGGCAAGAAAAACACCTCGAAGAACCCCCAAATAACGGTCACAGCCGTGGTTTTAAATTTGTTTCTCTCCTTTTCTTACTTGTTTGTCTTTCCCTGCATTAGCTGACAACCCACCAGCATCTCAGCTCCCTGACAACTGTCTCCAGAAGGCCACAAACCTCATGAGCCATAAAACCTCCCTGGTGGGCTCTATTTTTTAAGTTTATCTCCCTCTTTTTCTCCCTGATCAGGACCCAGCACGTCTTTTTAACATTCTTCTCCTCTCTTCCACCCAATCCTCTCAACCACCACCTTATGAGGTAGGTCAGGCTGAAAGCTTCTGACAGGCCCAAGGTTGCCTGGTGAGCTTCTCTGGCAGAGTGGGGATCTCCTGCTCCTGGGCCGACACTCCATGCCACCCCAGCCCAGTTAAGCCCCTGCTGAAGCGGGCAGGGCTCAGGGAAGAAATCTGCTCAGAGGTTTAAGTTCTGGTTTTGTGCGCGTACAAAGCTAGTAGCCCCCACCTGGAAGCAAAGCAGGGTCAGCCCCCATAGCACCGAGGCCCTCCAGGGTTGCCAGGCAGAGGCAGGCAGTGGCGAAGCACAACGCTTCATCTCACGCCTTGAAAGCCCCATGAGAGGATGACGGCCATGGAAATCAACAACTTTAAAGGGGGATTAGATGGACTCATGGAGGATAAATCTATCGGTGGCTTCTAGCCATGGTGGCTGAGGAGGACCTCCCCATTCAGAGGCACTAAGCCTCTGAATCCCAGAGCCAGGAGGCAACCTCAGGGGAAGGCCTTGGCCTCCATGCCCCGTTGTTGGCCCTCCAGAGGCTGGCCACTGTGCAAGAGGCAGGATGCCGGACTAGATGGACCCTCACTGGTCATTGGTCCAATCCCGCAGGGCTCTTCTCCTGTTCTTATGTTCTTCTAAATTCTTTTAAGTCAGCTGTGACTTGACAGCCCTGAAGAACCTGTTTCTTCCTCAGGGAAAATTGTTGTTGAACTCCCTGAGGAAGATTCTGAAACAGAAGGATCTCTGGACCTCTGTTGGAGGAAGACAGAGCACATGTCATAAAGAGACTTTAAGGAGTCCTCCCTTTTGAAACTTTTAGTTAACAGAGGAGGACTATTATTAATTATAAGGTTGCACAATAGCTTTTGAGATTCTTGGAGATGATAATTTGATATTTTTATATCTCTTATATTGTGAATTGTGATTAAGATGATTAATTATATATGTAGAAATTATTGTAAAAATATTTTTCAAAAAATATAAAACTATTTATGATGTGCTATAATCATCTGTGCACGGTACTTCTTGTATGTTGGTTTCCCCACCTGCCCAGCAGGCACGGCTCAGCCCACTCTCTCCCAGCGTTCCCTCTAAGCGGAGTTAGTGTGAGCTGGCTCACAGGTTCTTTAGCCTCCGGCTCACACATTTTGTGTCTCCGCTCAGGAAGGAGGGCTCCGGAGCCAACTCATTTCTGCAGCAGCCAGATCTCCGGCTCACCGCTTGCATGCCAGCAGTCGCCCGCAAAGTAGACTTCTCGCGCAGCAGCTGCACCTGTTGGGTTTCGAAGGCGCCGGAGCAGCCCTGGGAGGTGAAGGGGAGGCGGGCGGGGAAGGACGGAGCGAGGAGGTAACTCAGCAAAAGCCAAGCTGGGGAGAGGGCTGCTCCAGCCCAACCGAGGCGTCCTTCCAGGCCGGCTGAGCGGAGGGTCCCGCGCCGCGTGCACGTGGAGGAGAGCGCAAGCGGCGCGCCTTCTTCCTGGCCGGGCAGCCCGGCTCTCCACCCCCCCGACCCCGACCCCGAGAGCGCGGGTTACCTCCCAGCCTGGCGAACTCCCTGCGGCGCAGCGCCCGCGGGCTCTCCCCGCCGTAGCCGTATGCAGCGCCCCGGGGGAGCCGGCTTCGGAAGGCCGGGAAGGAGAGCGCCTCTCGCCACGGCTCCATGGCCCTTCTGGCCCGGCCCCATGGCCCGCACCGCACCTGACCCGCCAGGGAGGAGGAGGAGGAGGAGGCGGAGGAGGAGGCCCAGGCCACGCCCGCCCCCTCCTCCCGCCGCCGCCGCCCCCTCTTCCCCGGCCCGGCAAGGAAGGAAGGACGTCCCGCCGCCGCTGCTGCGGCTGCAAGCGGCGGCCCGGGAAGGAGGGCCTCGGGGGAGCGCCGCGGAACTTGGAGCCGGGCAAGAGCGGCGCAGCGTGTCCGGGGCGGCGGAGACCTCGGGGAGTTGGAGCGAAGGTTGCCAGCCTCCAGGCGGGGCCGGGAGACACACACACGTGTGCCGAGTGGCGGCGTGCTGCGTGGGGGGGCCCAGCCTCCAGGCCGGGCCGGGAGACACACACACAACGCACGCGCCGGGCGGCGGCGGCTCTCCGAGGGAACGAGACCGGTTATGTCTGCGGGGGGGGGGGCTGTTTTGAAAGGCGAAAAAGAGGACGCCTTTCCCGACTGACGGTGGCAGACCTCGTTTCAGGTAACCCCCCTGCTGCTGTGGGAGCCGCAGCCTGCCTCCCCTGGGGGACTAGAGGGCAAAAGCAGGCTCAGCCCCCCAACCCAAAAAGAGGACGTTTTCATCAGGTTTTTTTTAAAGATCCCCAAAGAGGAAAGACACCAAGAAAAAGAGGACACCTGGTAACCCTAATCCGTGTTAAACGCTGTCAAGTCACTTCGACTTATAGTGACCCTGTGAATCCGAATCACAGAATCATAGAGTTGGAAGGGACCTCCAGGGTCATCTAGTCCAACTCCTTGCACAATGCAGGAGATTCACAAATACCTCCCCCCACACACACACACCCCAGTGACCATGCCCCGAAGATGACAAAAAACTTCCAGGTTCTCCAGCAAAACTGGCCTGGAGAAAAATGGCTTCCTGACTCCAAAGTGGCAATCAGCATTTCAGGGCCACAAAAACTAAAGCACTGATGCAGCCCTCCAGAATTAATTCATGCCCTCCAAAAGGTCCCCTCAGAACAGCTTGGCTCAGGTCTTGCAAAGTCTATTTTTCTCCCTCTCCCCAAATACTAGAATTTGAGGACATCCAATGAAGGCAATGGGCAGTCGGTTCAAGATGGACAAGAGGCAGTTCTGCTTTACACAAAGAGTGATTAAAATGTGGAATTCGCTGCCAGAAGATGTAGTGATGGCCACAGGAATCAACAGCTTCAAAAGGGGGTTACATATATGCATATAGCCATGGGGAACCTCCACATTCAGAGGCATTAAGCCTCTGAATCCTAGATCCACGTGGCAACATCAGGGGAAGGTCTCAGCCTCTATGCCCTTTTGTTGGCCCTCCAGAGGACCTGTTTGGCCACTCTGTGAGACAGGATGTTGGACTAGATAAAGCACTGGTCTGATCCAGCAGGGCTCTTCTTATGTTCTTATGAAGGCCTTGGCCTCTATGCCCTGTTGTTGGCCCTCCAGAGGAACTGGTTGGCCATTCTGTGAAGGAGGAGGAGGTGGAGGAGATTGGATTTATACCCGGCCTTCACTACCCGAAGGAGTCTCAGAGCAGTTTACAATCTCTTTTCCCTCCCCACAACAGACACCCTGTGAAGTAGGTGGGGCTGAGAGAGCTCTTTTGAGAACTGCTGGTGAGGGAACAGCTCTGAAAGAACTTGTAACTGACCCAAGGTCATGCCAGCAGCTGCATGTGGAAGAGTGGGGAATCAAACCCAGTACAGAGGCATTAAGCTTCTGATTCCTAGAGCCAGGAGGCAACATCAGAGGAAGAAGCCTTCTACAGAGTTGTTTGACTTGTCCATTGTAGCATTGTGAGCTTTGGTTCCAGGAAAAATAATTTGCCTGAAGAAGAATTTCTTGAAACATGTTGCTTTGATACTTGCTGCATCTCTTTTCAGAAAGCAAAACAGCCTACAATATTGGCATTGACAACTGCTGCATCTCTCATCAGAAAGCAAGATAGTCTACAGCATTGAATTCTGTCTGCATACTTATCTCTGTAGCTGTGGACTTTTCTACAAGATATATATTGTTCTTTAGGTTTTTGTTATCAATGTATTATAATTAATAAGATACACTGGGGGTCTTTATTATATATTTAAGTATATGATTTAAACGAATATATGAAGGCACAGTAGCATATCAGAATTGTGTGTTTTGTTTGAACATGGTGTTTTTCCACGTTTACTCCACCTGTATGTTGGCAACCCTGCCTCTTGCCGCTGCTCTTGATAATGATGCCGATGCTCCTCCTGCTCTCAAAATGGAAATTCTCTGTCAAATGAAACAAAAGTAGATGAAGGAAAATTCTCCCTGCGGTGCTCGGAATAGCAGTTCTCAGCACTTCTCAGCTCTAAATTTGGCAGTTGTCACTTAAATGGTCAGCTGTACTCAGCTTCCACAGTTTCTCAAGAATGACTCCAAGCCCATAGGACGAAAGTGATGTGCAATTAGATAAAATGTCATGTCTGTTGCCACTGATAAATGGCATTTTTGAGCCAGCAGGCATTGCAAGCTTTTATGCATGAAGTAATCATTTATTATTTTATAAACATTAAAAGGTATGGGTAAAGGTTCTCTTGCTTGAAAGCTAGTCGCATCCAACTCTAGGGGGCGGTGCTCATCTCTGTTTCAAAGCCGACGAGCCGACGCTGTCCGAAGACTTCTCCGTGGTCATGTGGCCAGCATGACTAAACGCCGAGGCGCACGGAACGCTGTTACCTTCCCACCGAAGCAGTACCTATTTATCTACTTGCAATTTCTTGCTTTCGAACTGCTAGGCTGGCAAGAGCGGGGGCCAGAGACAGGAGCTCACTCTGTCCTGCAGCACTCGGGTCTCGAACTTCCAGTCTGCAGCTCAGCGTCTTAACCTCTGAGCCACTGCAGCCCTTACTTATAAACATTACTTACTATTTAATCTAAGCCACCCACCCGGTATGGGTTAGTAGGCTCCGAGACCAGGTTTGAATTCCCAGTCTGCCAAGGAAGCTTGCTTGGTGTCTTTGGGACAGCCATATACTCTCGGCCTAACCTACCCCACAGGGTTGTTGGGAGGATTCAATGGAGACAAGAATGATGTCAGTCAGTTTAGGGGTGCCAACTTCCAGGCGGTGGCTGGAAACTCCTGGGATTGCAACTGATGTCCAGGCAATAAAGATCAGTTCATCTGGAGAAAAGGGCCACTTTGGAAGGGGAGATGAGAGCAGCCACGTGTGTTACAAGGTCAGTGGAAGTTTCTTTTCAAAACCTACAGGAACAAAATATTTAGGAATTTTAAAATGGGGAGGTACAGTTAACAAGACTTTCCAAGGAGGCAAAAGGGTGGTTGCAAATGGGGAAATCCAAATGGAAGAAAAAGTGAGAAAAAGAGCAATGCCTAGTTACTGACAAACTGTAAACCAACCAAAGAATATATTAAAGGATGTGCAGGTGTCTGTGAGAGAGAAAGAGAGAAAAACAAAAAGCAGTGCAGATTAAATTCATGTTCTTTATCTCTTCGCACATCGCGCCCCATGCACTGACCAAGAGGTTGACTTTGGGCTCTTTTCAGAGGACATGAGATCTGCTTCCTGGTTTCAAGCACATTAGATATTGTTTTAATAATCTCTCACTTGTTTCTGAATATTTGTAAAGGAGTCCAGCTGTACCTTTAATGCTAACTAAAGTCCACTGAGACAGCATAGGCTTTCTTTCATAGGTCATTATCTGTCTTAACAGAGTGGAAATGTGGGTTGCAAGTCAGAGAAATCAGTTGATGCTTACGCTCAGTTTTCCAAGGCACGGTTACCCTCATGATGAACTATACCAGGGGTTCCTAACCTAGTGCTTGTGGGCACAGTGGTGCCCACCAACACCTTTTCTGGTCCCTGCAAAGTGTTTTTAGAAAGTGGGTGGGGTCAGTTAGGGCTATTGACCATTGGAGATTTTATTGGTGATGCTAGGGTTGCCAAATTTTAATTTCCTACCGGCGGGGGATCTTCTGGCCGGTCCGGGAGCTGCTCGCGGATGCACGCGCGCCGCCAGGACGTCACCAGAAGTGACGTCACACGCTGGGCGGGGCCACGCCGTTTGAGGGGAAAACAAAGAGTTTTCCCCTCAAATGGCAGCCATTTGAGGGGGAAACTCTTTGTTTACCCCCTCAAACGGCGATGCAGTTTTAAAAGTTGCTTTGGCAACAACTGCCACCCTAGCACAAGGATCTTTACGGTATGAGTGAAGGCAGTCTGTGGTGGCCATTTTGTGGCTGGCCCCACCACGCTGTGTCAGAATTCCAAAGATGACTACAGGCTGAAAAAAGTTTGGGACCTCTGAACTATCCATTGGAAAGTGAGGATTTAAAATCAAAAGTGCTTCCCTTAGCTTTTACAACATGACGCCCACTATAGGCCCTGATTTGACACCACTAAGAAGAAGAAGAGGAGGAGGAGATTGGATTCAGTCTCAGAGCATCTTACAATCTCCTTTCCCTTCCCCTCCTCACAGCAGACACCCTGGGAGATAGGTGGGGCAGAGAGAGCTCTGAGAGAACTGTGGCTTACCCAAGGTCACCCAGCAGCTGCATGTGGAGGAATGGGGAATCAAACCCGGTTCTCCCAGATTAGAGTCCACACTCCTAACCACTACACAAAACTGGCTCTCACTAAGTTTTTGAAGAAATTCCTCTTCTGCCACTTTGCACTCCGGAGAAATACCCTAAAGTCAGACATCAGACTGCCTGGTCACATGTCGTTTCCACATAGCCAGATTATTCCTTATTTTCCCAGGCTGTTGCTCTTTAAAACATTTCACCTAAATCTTTTATGTTTCACTTCATAAAGAATTAAAAAAATAGAGCTTCCGACAATTAGGCCACACTCGGCACTTGTCTCAGGGAGTGCGTTCTGAAGCCAGTCTGAGCTTAAACTGACAGTTCCCTAATTGACGCTGACACGTGGCAGGGCTTCGCACTCACACGCCCCATCCCTGTGGACATGGGAGAGCCATTCTGGGTCCCAACAGCAGTTGATTTGCCAGTCAGGAACTCTGTCAGC